CTGGCCTTCCCCCTCATCCTTACCCATAAGCACTCAACTTTGTCATCTCCACTGTCAATTTCTATACAGTCAAAACACTCCCTAACATACAGAGCCACCCCACTGCATCCCCTTCCCTGCCTATCCCTTCTGAAGAGCTTATAGCCCTCCAGTGCAGCACTCCAGTCATGAGAGTCGTCCCACCACGTTTCTGTGATGGCGACTATGTCATAGCCATCCTGCTGCAGAAGGGCTTCCAGCTCCTGTTTGTTGCCTATACTACGTGCATTGTTGTAGATGCACTTGAGCTGGGCTATTGATTTCGCCCCCAATGTTGCCATGCCGCCCCTGGGGTCCTCACTAGCGGGCCCGTTTATATCCCCTTTTTCATGTTCATATTAAACTCGGAGGAAGATCTAGGCTGGGAGGGAACTTTGTATGTCTCTAATCCAATTGTCCACTGAAAGCTGAGCTAACTTCAAAGCTGCATTGCGGTCCTCTGGGTGTTCCCTATCTAAGCTTTGAAGTTGTCCAAGAATGGAGATGCCACCATGTGCCAGGGCTGTGCCTCTCCTGTGAGGGAGAATTTTCTCCTTGCGTCCGGTGAGCCTTCCCCTTGTTGCATCTTGTGCCTGTTACCTCTTGGTCTTCTGCTGCACACCTCTGAGAAGAGCCATCATACACCTCTCAGACCCATCCACCCTGCAGACCTGGGGTTGTGGGACAGGTCTGCCCCTGGTTAGAGCTCAAGTATTTGGGCAAACTCAAATATATTTATACAGGCTGGAAATTCCAGACCTCCCAGAGTCTTTAGGCACCAAGGGCAAGAGTCGAAGCAGAATTTTTATCTCCTCAGATACAATTTTGGGTAGAGTATAGGCACCTAAACAGGTCAGAACAACCCTTGAATACTCTATGATTTCTAGTTAGTAGCTTTGAAACCTTAAAATGATTCTGCTAGCCTTGTAGCTGAGCTCTTCAAGGCCATAGAGGGACTTCAGCAGTGAAGCAGGCTTGCTGCTGGTATTGTAGCTGTGGCTACTCAGTGGCTGCTCACTAAACAGGAGACCTGTGTCTTGGTCCTGCCTTCAGCTGGAGGGGGGCGAAACCCACTGCACACAAGACAACATGACCATACAATGTTGGGAATGGGAACAACCTTTATCTTACATGAGGCAAGGCAGCAAAGGATTGCACCCTCAAACAGCCAGACCAGGAGGGCAGCAAGGAGCAGGGAGAGGAGGGTTGAGCCTTCCACTACAGTGTGGTGAATCCTTGAACCTCTGCCTCGGTGTTTCCTCAACAGAAAGATATGTGTGTGGCCATGTGTGTGCAGGCAGTGCTGGCCTGGCCATGCATGTGCTGTACCAGTGACCGGGCACACACAGCCAGGCTGTCCCGAGTTGTGCATGTTGGACGTGAACTGCACCATGAACATGTATTTGTGCTGGGGCTGCTTATGGGAAACATCTGGCGCTACTGTCCCAAGGGCTATGAGCCTTCAGGAAATCTGACAATTGCTATAAAATCTCCATGCTCATCCAAAATTTGCAGGTGGGGGAAAAAAAAAAAGACATGTCCAGAAAAACCTGACAAGCTGTGTGCTGCAGCTGGAAGTGCTGTCGGGTACCGACAGCACTCCCAGCAGCATCACAGAGGTTTCCCGGGCGACTGCATCGTGCTGCTACCTCCTTCCTCCCACACCCGCCACCAAGAGCTGCTGCATTGCCATGGCAGCCCCGAAGGAAAATAGCCTCTTCCCTCCCAATCCCTACTATATCCCTGGGTAAGTTCTGAAGTTCATCCAAAATGTCTGCTCACTTCCAGTGCAAATAGCTCCAGTTGGGATCATGTAGTATTTATGATTCATGATACTTTTTTTTTAAAGACACTATTAAATATTCTATGTAACAGTGCTCCAAAGGAGACAGGGCTCCAGGATAAGAAGCACCACCTTGTAACAGGGTATAATTAAAGACCATGCCATAGCACATTGAGGGTAAAGTCAAAATTGTTCTTCCCACCCGCCCCCCCCGCTTTTTTTCATTTGTTTTAAGTTGCCAAATGTTACCAGGGCTGCTGTGCAGGCTTTGGCTTCCAAACTGTCATAACTTTTGCATGAAGGATGTTTGAAGATCTCCTTTGAATAAGTAGTTGCATAGACATGTTATGCTCTTGTCAAATTGGTTGGAGCGCAGTCCTGCTGTGGCATCTGAGCTCTTTGAAGAAGTCAGTACTCTGTGGATGCTGGTGATCTAGTTGATACGTAGTTAGATTTTTTCCAAAGCTTTTTGCAACATCCTCCTCTAAAGGCTTGAAAAGAAGAAACCAAGCTGTCATGGTTAAGAGGTAATGAGTTATTGGTTAAAAGGTAAGATATGAATGGCAGAAAAAAGTGGATAGGCTTCACGGTGAAGTAGAGAAGTTGTGCATGGAGTCCCCTGGTGACCCGTGCTGGGAGATGTGGTCCATGATGTGTAAATAAGCTGGGAAGGGCTGGATGGCCACTGAGGGAAAACAAGCTTCTGTTCGTACAAAATCACTCGGATTAGTCCAGCCTGAGGGTAACTCCAAAGGGTGTCTGGATGACCTCCCAGGGCAGAGGGGCTGGTGACAGCCCAGGCTGCAAACCTCAGCACAGAGAAAACCAGCTGTGTCCCGCACAGCTCCAGGTGCAGCACAAGTACAGGCAGGAGGCAGGCAGATCCCAAGCTGCCAGATAAAGGCTGGAGCGCATTTGCTTCCTTAACGATGCTCCTGAGGTGACAATCAGATCAGTCCTTCCCATTACAGCAATGTGCAAGATTTTTCCATTCCTGGTCTCCATATCTTCCATAAGCTCTGGGGTTGGGGGTTTTTAACACGTTTTTGCATCGATGCAGTTGTCTGAAGATGTGATGTGTTACTCCATGTGTGCTGTCACCCTGTCAAAGCTGTGCACTGACAGCAGCTTGGGAAAGACAAGTAACAGCAAGGAGGGAGCTGTGGCTGGGCTTGCACCTCCAAAAGCCTCCAAACCTTCCCTTGCTTGCTCCTGCCTGCAGACAGCTCCCTCAGAAGCAGCTTTGAGCCCTAATACTGTCACATCAGCTGGGGCTGCTCCTCTCTGGGCTGCTGCTTCAGCCACTAAAGGCAGGAGGAGGAGGAACCAAATTCTGCCACTGCTTTTGGCAGTGCCATGCAGGGTCATAGCATCACCCTGAGCCCCAGAGGAAGCCCCCATGGGTGGCTGAGGGTGCTGCTTTGCATCTGCTTTGGGTGGCTGAGCACAAGGAGGAGCTGCCTTAAGGGCATTGCCAGAGCCTGGGCTCTGCTGTTGACAGACAGTGCACCCTATGCCAGGGTGCCAGCAGGAGGAGAAGGAAGATGCTGCATCACGGCATCTCACCAGTGCCGTGAGATGTGCTCTCATGTGCTGTATCCTGCTGTGCCGGTGAACCCGCAAACACAATGAAGGCATCAAAATAGGTTGCTGTCACTCAGGTCGGTCAATGGTCACAGCCAGGGCTTTGAAAATGCCACCACAGTGTTCAAGAGCATTGGGAAGCCAAAACCAACGTGTGGGATAGTTTGGGAAGGACTTGGTGCTCACAGAAGGGGTAAATCCATGAATCCTGGGCTCAGTCCTGGCTGCCCCATCCTGAATTGGTGGAGCTGGGAAGGGCAGAGCTGAGTGAGGACAGGCCCAGGGCCAAGGCTTTTCCCTGGTGATCAGGAAGGCTGAGCAGGTTTAGGTGACGTGGTCTGGGGAGTGGTGATTGAAGAGATATGGCTGAGTAAGACAAAAGTGAAATAGTGCTCAGCCTTGGGAAAGCAGGTTACTCACTGCTTGCCAATGAGGTTTGAGATCAGCGGCTGCAGGGGCTCAGCGTGGGCTACAGAAATGGGGGATCTCTCTGGTTTCTTAATCAAAATACCAAGGATAAGGTCAAACAGCCCTGCTGAGACTGGTCTCTTCCCCAGGTGCCACAGCTTTTATCAGCGGCACTTGTAATTCACTCTGTGGCAGATCCCTTTGCCATAAACCCAGACTGACTTGCCCGAGCTCCTTGGATTACCTTACTTTTAATTGCTTATGAATTGAATCCTTTCTCAGCCCTACCATTATTTTGTTCATGATCAAAACCCCTCTGGCCATCCTGTAATTATTCAGGCTATGTCATTTGTGCTCTTGCTCAGCTTTATCATCCTGGTGTAGCTTCCCCGTGTTGCAAGACTCATTGAAAATCAATGGTGATGAGCCACCGAGCTCCTCCGGCAGCAGCCGGTGAAAGATCCTGCATGCAAAGTGGGAGAACTTGCCAAGTGTAAATGCACAGCTCTGCTCGCTGTTGTTTAAAGTATTTGGAAGGGAAAGTACTTACTCATCATCTTATGATCTTTATGCATCATCTGGCTTTATCCCCAGATACGCAGTAGGATCATTGATTGAATATTTCTGTCTGTACATTGTAACTGGCAGCTCTACCTTTCTTCTTCAGTGGTGGTATAATGTCACCATTAGAAAATTTGATACTGGGAATAGCTAATGTTTCTGATCCATACTGGTGGACTTGGGAGCAGAGCCAGAGCTCCAGCACCTGCCCAAAAATTCAAACTGCCCGTCCCAGGCTGTGGGGGGCAGAGAAACAGCGTGTCATTACACACCCTGCACAAAGGTCTCGAAAAAATCACGTGATGTTTGTTACTGGGGCTGAGCAGCTGCCTGCCCACTGATGCCTCTCCATGTAATGCAGTGCCTGGGTAGGTTTTGGCAGGTACAAGCAATTTTTCTGATTTTTGAGTTTCAATATTGAACAAGGGACACTGGGTAATTCCAAGTAACTCACTGTGTTTTAGAATAGAGAGAGTGATTGCAAATGTAAAACTGGAGCATGTTTAAATGGAAATAATATTTTAACTGGGAGGCTGTCGATGTCAGCACTGTCAAAGCAACTGCAGCCCACACTGTGCTCCTGCTGTAAGTTTTCCCATCCACAGATGCTGCTTTGGCCATGCTTCCTGACCTCATCCCATATTCCTCCATGAACCAAAGCACAAGCCTGTGCCTAAGCATGCTTGTAAATCTGTAAGCCAGTTTTCATGCTGATATGTAAGAACATGCATGTGCGAACACACACACAGACACACCCACCTGGCTTCATGCATAACCACACACATCTCCTCAGTGCTCCCCTTGTGCTGCTGCTCCAGCAGCATAAACGAATTCATGCTTGCAGGCACAGCCCTGTGCAATCACCTTCCCTGGGCTCATGTACTCTCAGCCACATGTGCTCCTGGCCATGGCCTTTCCAGTGTACAAAAGCTCTGAAGCAGGTTATCCTATCTGCGGGCACCTTCTAATGCCATCTCAGTGACTGCTCTTTTTTGGTTTCCTCCTCAGCTATGAGGGCTTCATCCCTCAGTACAACTATCAGTTTGGAGAAACCTTTGGCAAAACCACCTACCGCCTGCTGACGGATCCTGGTGTTAGCAAGAGCCCTCGCCCCTTGCTGGCACCGCTGTACAAGCCCAAGTTCGTTGAGGACTTCAGCAGAAGGGTTATCTCCCTGGGTGTCCAGGTGAGCACACCCTGGGTCTCATCCCTTTGCCAGAACAGACTCTGCTAACGAGCACCAGGGTCTGTGCCCATCCTCAATAGGCACAGTGAAATGGGATATTTTCCATGGAGCAATCAGAGCTCTGGTGTAGGAGCACAGACGTGCGGAGAGCCGCACTGGTGCGGAGTTGGAGCACTCAGCCGATGAGCATGGGGCTTCTCGCATTGGGTGGCTGGTGGAGTGGAGAGGAGAATTTTAGTTCCCAGGTTATCTTCAGTTAGATGAAGATAAATGATTTTATGGCATATTATGAATTCACTCCCCAATTCTTCCATATTCCTGTTGTGGTTTAACCCCAGCTGGCAACCAAGCACCACACAGCCCCTCACTCACTCTCCCCCAGCGGGATCAGGAGAGAGAATTGGACGGGTAAAAGTGAGAAAACTTGTGGGTTGAGATAAAAACAGTTTAATAATTGAAATAAAATAATAGTGATAATAATAAATTGTAATGAAAAGGAAAATAACAAAAAGAGAAATAAAACCCAAGAAAGACAAGTGATGCAAATGAAAACAGTTGCTTACTACCAACCGATCGATGCCCAGCCAGTCCCTGAGCAGTGTCCTCCCCCGCCAACCTCCCCCCCAGCTTTATGTGCTGAGCATGACATCCTATGGTACAGAATATCCCTTTGTTGAGTTGGGGTCAGCTGTCCCGCCTGTGCGCCCTCCCAACTTCTTGTGCACCCCCAACCTAGTTGCTGGTGGGGTGGGGTGAGAAGCAGAAAAGGCCTTGACTCTGTGTAAGCACTGCTCAGCAGTAACTGAAGCATCCCTGTGTTACCAACACTGTTTTCAGCACAATCCAAAACACAGCCCCATGCTAGCTGCTGTGAAGAAAATGAACTCTATCCCAGTCAAACCCAGCACAACTGCACAGGCTACAATCTGTCTGGGGAAGGTTGGCTCTGCCACCTCCAACCCTTTCCCGGCTGACCCGCCTGGTGCAGCGCTCGTTCTGCTCAGACCTCTTGCAGCTTGTGGTTCATTTTGGATCTTGCTGCTCCTACCTCAGCTCAGCAGAAGGGCTCGTGTGCCCTTCCTTTCCCTTCCCACCTTCCCCACTTCTGCTAACAGGCCCCATCACCTCCATCACACACTGAGACATGCTCACGTGGATTCCCAGCTCTGGGAATTTGCAGGAATCTCCTACCAAGTCTCAGCCCTTCCAGGCAAAGTGCCTGGTCCCAGTTGACCCAAATCAGGCCACAGCAGCAGCCACACCATAATCCTGATCAGACCCTCTCAGGGACATGTCATCCTTTGGAGGCACATTTGCCGTGTACTATATCATGTGTCTAAGCTGTAGCTGTTGTGGACACCCTGTTCAGTGGGAGCGAGTCCACTCCCAGCTGGACCGCAGGGGTAACATACCTGGGTGGTATCTGGGTCTTCATTTCCCTGGGGATGGCCACACCAAAGTGATGCTTTCCCATTTCTCGCTGGGAATTTGTACTGTGTAGCTTCTCTCAGACTTTTAGCATTTCTGTTCTTCCTAGCCGTGTTTTCCAGGATCCAGGTCTCTACTATGCAGGTGGTGTTTACAGGCATCATTCCTGGACATTTAAATTTGCATTTCCTTGGACTAAAAGGTAGTTTGGATGGACACAACCAACCAGTTGACCTAGTTGCTCTCTGTCATTATCTTGTCCTCATTCTTGTTCTCCCCTTGCCAACCTTTATGTCACCTGGCAACGTTTGCAGCTGGGAGCTCATGTTTGCTGCTCGTTGGTGAAATTCTGAAGAACATGGCCACAAGGAGCACCTTGCTGTGCTGGTAACTCTTCATCAACAGCTCCTGCTGTTGAGCTGTTGGTGCGTGATTCCTAAAACACTTCACTGCAAACTTTATTAGTACTGCCTGGCATCCTTCTGGGTATGTTACATGATGGAGATCAAAGAGCTCATGGCAGTGTTGGATCTGTGTGGTTGCCTTTAGCAAAGTCAGTCAAGATTTTTTTCTCAAGATTTATTTTTGATAAAGTCTTGTTGATGGGCACCAAGTATATTGCTGGTTTCTATCAGTTGAATCCCATGTTGTTTTCTTGCTGGAAGTGAGGCCAGGCTCAGTTGGTTGGGGATATCAACCAGGGTTATGCTGGATCTCCAGGGGTGGCTGTGTTGGCATTGAGGGGTTACAGCATAGGCCAAACGTGCAGGCACCCGCTCCCCAGGAAGCTGAAATGAAAACATATGGATATTTACTCAAATCAAATGCACAGTTCTCTCTTGGCTTTTAATTTAGTGCCTTACTGTGCAACCTTTCTGAATCAGTAAGTTTGGAAAACCCAGTGTCACAAAAAAGAGCTAACATGGATTTCTCAAGTACAAAACAACTTCATTTTGCCTTTTCCTTTGGTTTGTGGGATAAAAAGAAAAGAGTAGATGCAATATTTTCATTAATAATGAAGGAAATATTAAGATAAACCTGCTTTAAAATTTGCACACTGGATTGAAAAATCACTTTCATCAAGGATTTGTCTTTATTTTGTTGCTAGCCTGGACAACACTTGATAATTCAGTTACATAGAGTATATATACTTTACAAGGTTATATACAGTCTATACTTTATAATACAGTTATAAGCAGATTGTAAACCTAAATGCCCATCAGAAGTTTTAGACTCTTGCAGAAAGGAGCAAATTTTGCTCTGCGCTGTTTGAGCCAGGACAGGCTGTAATTCCCCAGGACTCTCTGCAGATGAAGCCTTTGCTGGAAGATGCTGTCTTGTCTGTGGGGCTTTGCATTGTGATACAGATGTCTACCAAACATGAGGAGGTCAGGGGAAGTCAGTAATGACCAGAGGGTTGAAAAAAAAATGACCTATGAGAACAAAAATGGGAGGAATTTGGTTTGTTTAAAAAAGACAAGACTGACATAGTAACAGTTTTCCAATAAGGAAAAGGTTGTTGGGGGGCATAAGAGCAATCATCCTCTGTAACCACCGAGGAGGGAGAAATTGGCTTCACTCCTGGCACAGAGCATGAGGAAGCACCTGGTCTGGAGGTGTTGTACAGTGCTGGGGCAGCCTGGGGAGCCACATCATGGGACATTTTTATGGGAAAGTCAAACAAAAGTTGCCAAGCTTGGCTGTCCCTGTGGAGTTTCAAGCTGCAGGGCTCTGTCCCTAGTTCACAGTGGAGATATTTAGCATACACTGGCTGTAAGATAACTTTTTTCCAGCTGGCGTTACAGCAGACCTTTTCCTTGATGAGCAGCAATGATGCCAGTGCAAGAATTCATTGGGGGTGGTGGTGGTGGGGGTGTCTGTGTTTGGGGTGTGCTGACTCAGCCACATGGAGAAAAGGCTATGGTTTCCCCACCACCACTCCCTTACTACTTTGTAGCTTGGCTGATAATATTTTACAGTTTAGATGTCACTTAGAATAAATTTTAAGTTACTGAGCTTCTATCTGTGCAGTTTTTCTGTGCAGGCCAGTTTATTGGATGGGGCTGATGTCACTCGCAGGATACATTCACAGCCCGTGGGATGCTGTTGACCTCCAGGCTCCTTCCCTACAGAGGGATGTGTGGGGGCTGAGGTCCAGTGTGATGGGAACCCCTCATCCTCGTTTGGCCACTCCTTTCCCTTAACTCAGTGTCTGTCCTGCAGGGTACTTTCCCTATGAGAAAGCTGGGGCTACAACAAGCTTTCCTGAACCAGTCCTTGGGCCAAACCCCACCCCACCGGGGCCAGGGCCGGCAGAAGAAGAGCTGATGATGATGCCTATGGACCCCATACCCTGGCACCAACCCAGCGAGTATGTCCCAAGGACACGACTGCCTCAGGGGTACCCACAGAGGATTTCACACTATCCTGTGTCTGAGGAGCGAGAGTGGCGATTGCCCGAGCTAACCCCAGCCTGTGGGCAGGGAAAAAGGTGCGGACATGGCCAGCTCAGCAGTGCTTTGGCAGGAAGCAAACCGGTATGTGGTTTTGGGTGGAAGAGACATATGGTAAGGGATGCTGCTGCAGAGGGTTGGGGTTTGGGGACTGATGGGCATGGAAGGGCTCTCCTCAGTCCAGGAGTGTGAAGAGGGAATTTCATATGGGCGTGGATGGCAAGGACAGAAAGTTTAGAGTGTCACGTAGAGAAATACCAAATACACAAATGTTTCTAGCAGTGGCAAATCCACCACATCTTCAGGAAATTGTTGTAAACGTTAATTATTCTTCCTAATCAAAAAGGTTTATCTTCTCATTTAGTTGAGTCTTAGCTTCAAATCCTAGTCATTAGATCTTGTGTTATGCTGTGCTATGCAACCAGGCTTCTGTTTCCTTTGGGTGAACTGGGAAGCCCTGCTGCTGCTCTCCTCTTCCTCCTGAAAAGAAAGCACTTCTGGCACCTTTGGTTACGTGCCGGGTTTCTGACCCCTTAACTGCTCCCACTGCTCACCTGAATTTCCCACCATCGTTATCCCTTGTTGAAACAGAAGCATTGGAATTTGCCTATGGTGCTGGGTGCTGCTTTGTATGGCACTGCTGGTATCACTCGGGACCAACATGTTTGAGCCCCTTATTTCTCCTGGAGCCAGAGACAGCATTTGTCACGTCACAGCCAGCCAGGGCTCTGCAAATCTCCTGAAGGCAGAGATTAGAGATTTGACGTATCAAGTCAAAAGCTGGCTTGGAGATAAATCCTAAGAAGGGGGATTCCTGCTCCTTGCTCTGAGAAATGGGTTTTGCAGAGGAGCTCAGTGCCCAAAGCTCCCCTTGTTCTTCCTGGGGATTTTGCAAAACCTCTATGTACAGGCAGCTCATCTGGTAATTTGACTTTACCAGAAATTCTTGGAGTAGCTCTTAGTGTAAAGCTGGGAAGAAATGGAAATGGCAGTTGCTGTTCACAGGTTCTGGCAGTGATTTAAGCAATGGAGCCAAAGGAGGAAGCAGGTTTTACTGGTGTTTATTTTATTTCTGCTTTTATTTTGAGCCTGTAAAAATTGAAGGTGTGACTCTGCCAGGAGTGGCTGAAACCGCAGATGTGGCGCAAGATAATTGGTTACCAAAACTGGATGTACCAAATGCGATCCAACAGAAAGTCATTCCAGGTAAAAAAGAGAGAGGTCGTGCACAGCATGAGTCCACCTCAGAAGAAGTTGTGTCACCCTTCTCCCCCTGGGGAAATCTCAGAGACATTGGCCAGTCGCTCCAGCTCGTTTGAACATTTTGGGATGGAAAACGCCCCTGCTCCTCTCCATGCAAGGGTGTTTCTTTGGGATGCTGTCACCCCCGTGGATCTCACACTGAGGGACACATGCCCATAGGCAGGTGGAAGGGATGCAGGAGCCATCACAGTTCCCCACAGCTGTGGGGCCAGGCTAGAAAATGCTCAAGAAAGCAAAGAGCAAAGGGTTATGGGCTCTGCACCAACTCCAGCAGCTTGATGAGTATCTGTTACTGTTGAGGTAATTTCTCTCCTAGAAATAAGATGCTTTTCTGACTCATCAAATCAACACACAGTGGTGTATTGCACCATCATAAATGTATAAAACTCTGTCTTACAAGGTGTTATACTCTGTAACTTCTCCGCTTGCACTGGAAGAGTGTTCCTGTGCAAGCAGGAGAATTACGAAGGGCGATGCACTGGGCTCCCCCCTAAAGGGTATGACACCCTTAGGGATACTTAGCTCTGTGGCAGACCACAGAGAATACAGGGGTAGCATGTCAAAATATTTTAGACTCGGTGAAAGAGCATCAATGTTTTAGGATGCAGAAGTCAAATTTTGCACTCTCCAAAGCATCCATTTGGGAAGAGTGAGTTCTGGTTGCTTTTAGGATGTACCTCCCTCTCTGTTTTATGTAGTTTTAGACTTTATATATCTGTCTTATAATTAGTGAAAATTTGTTGGATGGGCAGGGCAAATGAGGAAGAAAGGTTGGACACCCAGTTGTTAGCCCTTGAATGTGTATTAAACTGGGAGAGAACGTGACAGAGCTGTTGGTGTAAAAAAAGACTATAAGAAAATGAAATGTTTCTTCCATACATCATGGAAACCAACAAAGATCAGTTCAGCCCATTGAGTTTTCCTTTGGAATCATAAAAAATACTCTTTCAGAAAAGATACTTCACATGTAAGAGTTAATTTTACAGTTTAAATGGATGAGTTTTTCCTTCCTATACTCTGCCAAGGTTTTGTATTTATCCCAGCCTCTTCCACTTCCAGACTGGTTGATCCTTATACGATATGTATGTTCTCAAGCAGAAAATGTTCTCTCTTGTCTTCTTCCGAAGGGTACGCTGGATTCATCCCCCGCCTCACCGGGATTAATGGCGTGAACTACATCCAGAGTGTGAAGGAAGCAATGAACGAATTTGACCGACAGCAGGTAGATTATATGTACAAATCTTATTTCAACAATATAATGCTGGTGTTGATTCATCTCCAACACCAAAAGTAGTTTCATCTACCGTAGTAGTATTAGAACTGGGGTTCTAAGTACAAGCAAAATAAAATGCTGTTAGGTAACATGTTGAAAAAATCATGAGCAATGAAATTCTGTAACTTGTTTCCTTGGGACATTAAGGGAGGATAAATGAGTTCATAAAAGGATTAAGCAAATCCATTGAGAGTTGGGTCAAAGGTGGCTATTAAAAATGTTGCTCTGAGTGCAGAAACACAGGATACAAGTATCTGTGCTTCACTTACGGAGTGTATCTTCTCTACCTGGATGGCAGTGTTGGATGGCTTCCTGGGCTGCTTGGATGGATTATTTCTCCCTTTTAATTGGTTGTAAGGCTTTTTCCTTTACTAACATAATTTGTCTTCAAGGGAACTAGATCTTCTTTCTCCTTCTTTTGGGAAGGATGCAGAAATATGCCCACTGAAAAACTATTTTGTCCCATTGCTGTAAGATCTCCCATATAATCCTCCTACACAGGAAAATAAGATCCCTCCCACAGCAGTCAATAGTTTGCATTCAAAGCTACACGTTTCTTCCTGCTACCAGGATGGAGTGAGATCCCTGGGATGCAGCCATCTTGCTGGTCCTGTGCCAGTGAGGGCTGATCAGCTCAGTGACGCAGCTCATTAAAAGCAGGTTACAACATTTCCAGCCCTTTCTGGTCACCGGGATTCACTGCAGTGCTTTTGTCCCAGAGTGTATGGGTCTGATGTAGAAAAAAGGCCAAGACTGAGGATCCCCAGCTCAGAGAAACTCAGCTGGGAAAAAATGACTCAGCAGGGAGAGCAGCACGGCTGACGGTGCTCATGGCAGCCTCATGCTTTGGCTGAAATATATTTTCCTGTGCTGGCTTCCTTATTCATCTGCCATTAACAGGAATTTAAATGAAGCAAACAGAACAAAACCCAGGCATTATCAAAACTAAATGTGCTGTTTGCAAAGCCTTTCTGCCCCTGATTTCTTAAATGTCTGCCATGTAGTAAATCAGCGAGGGAGGTGTTTCTCTGTTGCAGGATTCAGCAGAATCCAGGCTCGCAGAGGTTAGCTGCAGCACATCAGGTGCTGGAGGAATATAAGCATGCTAAAAAAAAAACCACACCACAAAACAAACCCTACTACATTTCTCTCTAAGATGGCTTCTGACTTCAAGCCACTAATCTTCTGCCCTAAATCTCTGTTGCCCTAGGTTACATACTGGGATGTGCCATGGATCATTGCTTACTGTCTGCATCAGGGAAAATAATGCAATCCTCTCACTGCAGTGCTGCACTTAAGGAATTGCAGCAATCGCTCCATCATGAGTCACAAAATGGTTCAATGGCCTCACGGTTTGCTCAGCTCTGTGAACTCAGTCCCTTCACCACTGAGCAGGGTGCATGCCGAGGAGGGCGGCACAGCTTTAGTGACTTCTTTAGAGGTTTTGCCACTGCAGAGACATGCAGAACTGCAATATCCATCCTCAAGCACAGCCCCTTATCTGGGTCTGACCTTGGAGCAAGGACAGATCCAGGAGATGATTTACACTCTCCCTGCAGTTAACACCCCCTAAGCCTTCCTGTTCCTCCTAGCTTGGGAATTACTGGCTAATCAGTAAGACTCATGGAAAAATAAAACCGGTTGAAGGGGTCAAACCAAAACACAGATGTGCAGAGTCACAGCACAGGAGCAGATGAGGCACAGACCCAACTCCCAGCAGCCAGTGCTGGCTCACACTGTATCAAACGTATGAGCACAAGGTGTTTGAGACTTCCGGATGATGCTCAAAGGTGATGAAATGCAGTCCGGTCTGTAGAGATCCTGATGACTACACCTAGGCCAGGAGCTGCTCTGTGCAGCTGGGGATATGAGCTAGCAGAGGCAGCGCTGTCGAGGCCTGTCAGGAGAAAAACGTATGAAGTAGAAAAAGGGGAAGATATAATGTAGCTCCTAACAAGGAGAAAACAGAACTGGAAAGAGAATTGCTGTACATTATATCTTCTTTAATATGGGGTCAAAGCACATGATGTGGGTAACAATGATATGGTTTAAAATGAACTGTACTGTATTGTTGGGTTTGTTTGTTTTCCAGTTTTTGCAGAGAAACACAGCTTGCAGCTTTGGCAAGATATTTCCCCAAACATACTGGCCTAACAACAGAATTTACACCAGTGATGGACTGATACCTTCCTACATGGGCTTCGTACCACGTAAGTTTATCAGCTGAGTGAAAATGAAAGTCACTAATTACTGTCATTAAGTAGCGCTGTTATTAGCTGTAGTGCCATAGTAGTGACCAATTACTGAAATGTTCCACATGGGTAGTAGATTTTTCTTGCAGTCTGTGCCAAGGTGCTGGAGCTGTGCCATCCCCTGCCTTTCTGCAGGAGAGACCATCATCCTCACTGCCAGCCTGGGCTTGTGCAGAACATTCCTCTGTTTTCCAGCCACCATCCCCCTGCAAAATCAGAGGAGGCTCAGTAACACCGCACCTGTTACATGGGTGCATTACAATTTCATCAGGAAAGTGATTCTTTTCTAAAAAGCTTGAAGTCTGATAAAAAGCAAAAGGTAGATGATACAAAGGGGTTGAGAAGGCACAAAAAAAGCAGCGAAATGGTCTTAGCCATCAAGACAGGTGGTGGCTACTCCGTACTGTCCGCCTGATCCTTGTCAGTTACTGGTGTTGCCTAAAAGGAGAGGTCTGAAGAAAGTAATTTTGTCTATGTTAAGGTTTGTCCATACACCTTGAAAACATTAAGGTATCAGGCTAAAATTTCAACAAATCAGCAACTAGTATTGCTATCTTTGGCCACAGCAAAGTCAAGAGCCCACAGCTCAGTAATGTGGGATGGGAAATCATGGAGATAGATAAGCTAGAAAACACGAAACTCATAGCTTGTACTTAATGCAATGCAGAGGAGGAAAATGGTAGAAGACACAAAATGTGGCAGTAATGAAAGCGAAGAGTGGGAAAATTACTATCCTGGCAGGGTTGGACTGTAGCTGATATCAAGGTTGAGCCCAGAGAGAACGTTAAGGAAGTGAATGTGGCTCTAGCAAGACTTGTATCGGGGCATGGGAAAGCCGTACAGAAAAAGCAAAGTTCAACACCCGGCCAGTCATCAGGAGCTTGAGGGATGGTCTAAGGGAAAGGATGGAAGCATCATACACACTGATGGCGAAAGGTGGGGCTGGGGCCTTCTGATCAAAGATGAAGAGAAATATGTTCATTTTGGCCTCTGTCACCACACTGCTGCTCTGGGGCAGACGGCAAGCGCAGCAGCTGCTGTCCCCGGTGCATGACAACTCGCCTGTCCCCTTCCCTCACATGGCAGCTCTGGGTCATCTCACAGCAAAGCCCCGGCTGTTCTGGGTGCCCGTTTCCTCTGTGCTGGATTGCTCAGGGAGGGCTGTGGTCACACTCCACGCGGCTGTGGCCTGCAAGCTAAAGGCCCCTGGAGAAGGAAGGGCTTTATGAACCTAAGGGTAAGCTGGACTGCAGTGTTAATACTTACCCATGTGTTTTGTCCTCTGTCCACAAGCCTGCAGAAAGCAGGGAGAGCAGCCGGAGCTCTTCAGAGGAGGGTGACTAATGTAGCTCTGCCCAAAAGGGTGCTGGGGAGGGACAACGCTGTCCTGCCCTCGGTAACTGGCAGGCCAGGGAACACACTGGCTTCAGTGCAATGAAAAGGACGAAGAAAAAAAACCACACCCTAAAATCAAGGACAAAAATCAACTGCTTAAAGTGTTACTTCATGCTTTAAAAATCCGTTGCCATCTCTTCACCTACGGAAGTATTCTTCTGTGCAGGTTTGAAACAGCCACCTGCTTCTGTAGACAGACTGATTTCCACTGCCCCCAGAGCCACCACAGTCAGTGCAATTTTAACTACTCCAACCAGTTCAACTCTGGAAGGAGAAACTTATTTTTAAGACAGAAAAACTTAACACAAAATCAGTTACAATTAAGAACACAACAGAATTTATTCAGCAGG